TTGTTAGCATAATACTAACTTATGTGCATTTGTATAAATTGTAAGATGAGTATTTTATAGGCAAACCAAAATATCCAATTTACATTAAAAATAACTATAGTGGCTTAACCAAAACAGATTTCATGTTTTGATGAATTAATCTTTGGGAACTGTGTGAAATTCAGTTTGAATTTTGACTTGAAAAATTGGATGGTATGTTGAGGAGTGTAAATGAAGATATGATCATACTTATGATTTGTTTAATTAAAGAATTATAAAATATTATTTATGATTATTTATTAAATTAATAAATAAATAAAAATTGAATATATTTACAAATTGTTCATCTAATATTCTGTTAGTTTTCATTTGTAACCTAAATCCAACAACTATTCAAAGTTTAAAGCTTTGGGTATGTAAATTTAAGCCATGAACTCATAAATATTTTCAGAGTGAACAAACATCGGATTACATTGGAAAAAAAAATTATATGGCTTTTTCAGGATCACAAGGAATTTGACACTCATACCTGCTTTCAACTCTGCTAATTTGCTTAGAGAAAAGAAATTTTGTTTTTTAATCATCATATTCATGGTTATTGGTTCCAAGTTCCAACCTAGTTGTGATTTTTTCAATTAGCACATTTTAAAGATTATAAGACAAACTCTTTTTAATCAATACTTTTTTTCCCTGTTTTTAAGAATGTTTAGATCCTTACATTTCTTATTTCAAAAAAAAATAAAAATTAAAGGTAAAAAACCTTAAAAAAAAATTCAATATACATTGAAGCCTTTATCATTTTATTGTAATCAATTAAACTCATAAATATTTAATTTTGTCAATTAAACCATTATTAGATAAAAATTAGTTAATTACTAACATCAATTTTCGTTTAATCAAAAACCCAATTGAGCAAATAAATATTTAAGAATTTAATTAAGTAAAAATATATTTAAGGTTTCAACTGATTTAAAATAAAAAATTTTAAATTTAATTGATTGTAATATAAAATATTAAAACTTAAATGATTATTGAATTTTTATTGTGAGTTTTTCTATCTTAAACTGAACAGGAATAAAAAATTTAAGACTTAATTAATTATAATATAAAATATTAAAAATTTAAATGATTATTAAATTTTCATTCAATAATTTTTTTTTACCTTTTGCCTTAAACAATTTAAGGACTTAAAAGCCCTTTGGTAACTCCATTGTTTAACATTAGGTTTTAAGTCCTTAAATTGTTTAACAAAATTCACAGGCAAATGACAATAAAAGAAAAAGGGAAAGAAAAATGGAATTATTTGAAGCAAATTAACAACTGGATGGATGGCTTGATAACATGAAAAAGCTTCCAAGAAAACCAAGAACAGGATTTGCCTCTCTATATACATCAGACAAGCATTTCATTGTCTGTTGTCTTCTCTGTTGAATATGTTGGCTCTGTCCCTGAGTTTAAAAGGCCTCCGTGGAATGAACTGGAGCTTGCGCTTGTTATTGACCTTTTATATTTAAAAACATTCAAGGAATCGATGTCCCTATTTATCATTCGGCAAAATGAAGTCTATGAACGATGTAAGATAATATTCCATGTTGATTTGACAAGCCAAATTTGGAAATGAAGAATACAGAACTAGCAGCAAAGAGGTTCAACTTGTAGCTGTAGCTGGTAGTAGACCACTTGATATTCTCACGGTGTATAAAATCTTGAAAAATCAAAGCTTCTTTGTGAGCTCCAGAACAAAGTAGATTTGGATGAAGATTAACTAAAATTTGCAACAAATTTCTCAGAAGTAACTCAAGGCAAGTGATGAAGCATACCTCAAATAGCAGTTTGACCCAGTCTGATCACAATGCACAACGATTGAAGATCATTAGTTGCAGGTCTTCTTGTTTCCCATAAAGGACGAGTCTCCCCTGTATTATGGGAACATAACTTCCAGCACTAACAAGAAAAGCGTCAATGTTAGCCATAGTTGCGCCCGTTTGCCTGTGTCAGTAGAGCAATCAAGTCAAATAAGGATTTATTAAAGTTACAAAGTTCGATCTAATTTTGTACCGTGCACTAATGACTTAACCTAGTTGACATAGCATGTTGAACTTCAAACTAGTCTGAAACTTCCTAAGAAAGAACCTTCAAAATTTTCATAAATAATAAAAATAATTTAATGGTACCACTTACCTGCTTTGATTTGTTCTATGTCCTTTACCAGCCTTCACCAAGTTCTGCAAGTTAATGAGCTCTTCAAACTCTGATAATACAACTTAACAACTAGAGAATCTGTGAAAGGATCATAGAAACAGTAATAAAAATAAGTAAGCAATTCAGAGCCACCATTGATAGGAAAAATATAGGATATTACCAAGTGATAATGCAGTAGTTTAAAACCTCAATGGAAACTTAAAAACAAAAGGGAATTGAGGAACAATGACCTGTCCAAGCCTCATTCATGTGATTACAAAGCTGTCAATTTTCAAGAAGAATATGTGGAGATTTGGGTGAAACCTTGCCCACTCTTCCTTTAGAAACTACGAGCAAAGAACCATTTTGTTAATCTGCTGGAAACGAAGCAACTTTAACATCCCTATTTCTGGTATGAAGGGATTATCAAAATCAATGAACATTCAAGAAAAGTGAATAAAATTATCACTGACCTCAGAGTTGAGAATACTTCAAAAATTTCAAGATGAGTGCATTATTTCCAACATGGAATCATAGATATTCAAATCTTCAACTTGCAACTCTCAAAGACCACAAGACAATGGCGCCGACTACAATGCATCACATCTCTGTAAATTAAGTTGGCAAATGCTTGGTGCCCTTGGAAGCAAGCCTACAACCTTCCCACAATTTTTAATCTCATGTTTGGTTAAAGATGGGAGGTTCTTCCGCGGAGATTTGGTTAACTTGGGACAATGTCCAACTTATAGCAGTAGATTCCTTCATTGATGAACAAGATATTTAGAGACAAAGGTTAACGCAGAAGGAAATCAAAGCCAAAATGTAGGACCCCAGGAATCTGTAAGGAAACTTTGCTTATATTTTCTCATGTCACCAGCCAAATTGACATAGAGAAGACTGCTTAAAGGATTTTAGAGTAAAATTTGATCCCGAGAAAAAAAATGAAAAAAAAAAGTATGTTCTTGTTGCTTTTAAATTAAAAATTATTGTTGTTTTGAAAACAAAATGCATGATTTTACCTATATCAAACAATTATGTTAGAAATTATATTACATTTTAATTAGTTATGTTTTTACTAATTTCTACTATTATTTGCTTTTGTTCTATAACAAATTTTTAAAAAGTAAAAATTAAATAATAGAAATAATTAACAAAAGTACTAACCAAATGAAGTTTCAGGCTAAAAGAAGTTGCAATACTACCCACAGTACCAAATGCAGCCTTTTCCAATATCAGGGTAAGTTTCAAGCGCAGGTTCACCATCCAGGCATTGACGCAAGAGCAGTCCAGTGAAGAAGGAAGCACTGCAAGTGTGAATAATTAACTAAATTTTGCAAAAACTTTCTCAGAAGTAACTAGAAGCAAGTGATGAGGCATACCTCAAATAGCAATTTGACCCAGTCTGGAACACGATGCACGGCGATTGAAGATTATTAGTTGCAGGCCTTCTTGTTTTCCACAAAGGACAAGTCTCCTCCAGTATTACAGAAACACAACTTCCAGCACTAACAAGAAAAGCATCAATGTTGGCCATAGTTGTGCCCGTTTGCCTGATGTCAGTAGGGCAATCATGCCAAATAAGTATTTGTACATGTTAGCCGTAGTTGACATAGCATGTTGAACTTCAAACTAGTCTGAAACTTTCTAAAAAAGAACCTTCAAAATTTTCATAATAACAATAAGTAGTTAGTGGTGCCACTTGCTTTGATTTGTTCTAGGTCCTTTACCAGCCTTCATCAAATTACTGAGACGTTCAAACTCCGATAATACAAGTATACAGCTTAACAACCAGAGAACCTCTGAAAGGATCATAGAGACACTATAAAAATACCACTCAATCCACAGCTTAACCTTGCAAAAGGCAAAGACAAGCAGTAATAATACCTGAGTGCTGAGACAGATTGCGTATTTTTTTTAAAGAAAAATCAATAAATAGAGAAAGGAAGATGGTTAGTGAAATTAAATAAAAATGAATGGAGTACCTCAGAGTCGGACTCAGATAAGTTCATCTTCAATTAGAATGACAGGGAAGTGGGACATGTTGGTCCAAACGTTGTCAACCGAGTAATTTCATGAAGAATGAAGAACAATAAATTAAACAAATTATAAAATTGGAACACAGAAATAGAGAAATATTACACAATCCACAGCTTAACTTTGCAAATAAGACAGGGCTGACTTGGATTGTTTATTTTTTAAAAGAAAAATCAATAAATAGAGAATGGAGGAGTACCTGAGTCTTGCTATAGAATGACTTCATCCTCAATCCAAATGACAGGGATGTGGGAAATGTTGGGCCAATCTTTGCCTTTCTCCTTTTTGCAACGCTGTCTCAGCAGAGGGCAATTGTGAATCTCTAGATAAGAAAGAGAGTCAGGGAGCATATTTGGCAGCATGGATTGGAGTGTCTGGCAGCATGGATTGGCGAAGAGAGGTGAGGTGTTGAAAGCCCTTGCCTTTCAAAAGCTTAAGATTTGGAAGATTCCATATCACAAGATTAGTAAGAGAAGAGGGCAGCATATGTTCATCGGGAAAACACTCTATCTCTCTTGCACCTTCGATTTGGAAGTGTGTCAGTGAAGGGAGTGTTTGCAAACTCCATTCCCTCCTCATCATTCCCGCAATCAACTTATCACTTCCTTTGATAGTAATACCTTTTAATTTGGAGGGTAAACCCTCCCTTGGAAATGACTCTATTTCTGGACAAAAGTTTATTCCCAATTCCTCGAGGGAGGGGAAGAGGGAGTGCATATGCTCTGGCAATGACTTTAAATTTGCGCAATATTAAAAGCATCAGCGATGTTAAATTGGTGGCAGATAATCCCTCTTCAATTTGAAAAGATATCAAATTATGGCAACCATTGATATACAAAAAATTGAGACATGCGAGAAGCTGGTGATGAGGCCCGTCTAATGCACCAATCCACTTCAAGTTTTCACAATCCCAAATAGAAACACCATTTAGCATAGGGAATGATCCTAATGCAAAGGACTCCAGTGGATGACACCCGCCTATTATGTACAAAGATTCAAGAAATGTAAACAAGAAGATTTTGGAATAATCCAAGACACTACACCTTTGGATGTTCAAATGCTTTAGCGTGATAGGCAGACTACCTTCGGGAAGGGAACTGATATTAGAACAATCCCACATAATTAACTCTTCAAGACAAGTACAGTGTTGCATCATCGTCTCCAATATGGAATCATTTATGTTCGAATTGTAAATTCCCAGCCTTCGAAGCCCACAAGGCAAGGCTTCAATTGCAATCCATCACATCCCTCTAACTCTAGTTGGCAAATGCTTGGTGTCCTTGGAAGCATGTCTCCAAGCTTCTCACAATTTCTAATCTCAAGCTTCCTTAATAAAGGGAGGTGCTTGGGCAGAAACTTGGTTAGCTTTGGACAATTTTTAATGTATAACTCTTGGAGAAGACAGAAAGCTTCATCTCTGGAACAAAACCATTCTTCCCACTCTGGCATATCCTCAAAGCTTAGAAATTCAAGAGATCCAAACGGTTTACTCGAAGAATCACAGTGCCCATAGAACTCATCACCGACTGTCACGACTCCCTCAAGCCCTTTAATTAAGAGAGATTTCAAAGATGATAGTTGCCCAAGCGGTGGCAAGAAGATGCAGTATCTGCAATCACATAACTCCACAGATACTACATTTGAGAATGAAGAATGCCCCACCCATTCTGGAAATGGAAATCTTGTACCTCTATAAAACCTAATGACAAGATGCTCCAAGTTTGTATGAGGCTCCAGTTGTTCAAGTACTTCTCTATCATGCTTTGTATCATCATCAATAAGATCATCCTCACTCCATATCGACTCCAACTTCTTAAGTTTCATCTTACCCTTCAAATTGGCATCTTTGGCATCCATTGCACAGACAATATTTTGCAAACCTGAAATGGCAAGTCCTCCACATAGATGCTCCAGCTTTCCCAACTCGTTAATGCTTGAACAATTTTGCTTGCCTAAAACGAAATCTGTTAATGTCCGAAGGTCTTTCAATTTGCCCATTCCTTGTGGCATCATTAGTAACTTTGTTTCCTGAATATTGAGATGGTGAAAGTTGATCAATCTTCTTATGTCTTTGGGCAACTCAATAAGGCAGAAGCATCGAAACAATATTAATGTACAATAGTACAATGTGCTCAAAGAGTTGGGCAAACATTTAATTAAAGTATTCGAGAGATCCAAATAACGTAACTGCTTCAAATTATCAATTTCTTCTGGCAACTCATTGATATTATGATATTTAGTCAAAGAAAGCACTCGAAGTATTTTATTTTATTATCAAATCATGCAATATGTGGCTGGTAACATAACAAGACCATGAAGATGACTCTAAAGTTAAGAATGTTCGTAAACTTTTTGCTTTGGATAATGTCTCAAATTTCTTAAGCACATCATTACTTTCTTGCACATTGGACAAATGACGAGTCTTTTTAGTTATTTCACATGAACCACCATTATCTTCCAATTTGCAAAAGAATTCTCCTGATATAGATTTAGCCAAGTCACTGATTAGATCATGCATGACAAAGCAAGATTTATCCCCACTTAATTGTTGAAAAAAGGACCTCAACATTAAGTCTTTGAAGTACTCGTTACCTCGTTCTTCCGCATTGCCATTTTCTTTGGAACACTGTAAAAGACCTTCAGCTATCCATAATTGAATGAGCTCTTCCTTTTTGAATTCATAGTCTTTAGGAAAAATTGAACAATATGCAAAGCAACGCTTCAAATGTGAGGGAAGATAATAATAACTTAATCCTAATACCGGAAGAATAGTACCTGCTTCATCCGGTACGTGCCACAAATTGCTGTGCAATATTTTATCCCATTCATCAGCATCCAGTTTACCACGCAGAAGACCTCCAAGTGTTTTTGCAGCCAAAGGAAGGCCGTTGCATCTCTTGGCAATTTCTTTACCGATTACCTTCAAATTTGGATGCATGCTTGGGCTTGTATTGACAAATGCATGTTTTGAGAACAATCGCCAACAATCATCTTCAGATAAGATATTAAGATGATAAGTCGGAACATTCCTCATGATTGATGCAACGTCTTCATCACGTGTTGTTAAAATAATCTTGCTGTTCTTTGCGCCAGAAGTGAAAGGACTTTTCAATTCTTCCCAGTCAACATATCTCTTATGCCAAACATCGTCTAAAACAAATAGAAACTTCTTTCCCAACAGCTTCTCCTTTAGTTTAAGTTGAAGCTGGTTTAGGTTATGAAAAGCATCACCACTAGAACTGATCTCATCAAGAAGAGTTTTAGTTACCCTGAAAGCATCAAATTCTTCTGAAACACACACCCATGCTTTAAGGTCAAACCAATCCTCCACTCTCTTGTCATTGTAGATCAATTGTGAAAGGGTGGTTTTACCAACCCCGCCCATACCCACTATGGGAATCACATCCATCTGATTTTCAGTCGTATTTTCTGGGTGTAACAACTTCATTATTTCTTCTTTTTCGTCATCTCTGCCATAAACACCTGGTTCATCCACCAAAGAAGTTGCAGGGGATCTTTGAAATACCTTTTCTCCTCTAAATTATTTCAAACCGAGGATTTCTTTTTGGTTGACTAGAGATTCTAATCTCACATGGATCTCCTCCAGCTTTGACTCCATTCCTTCTTTGAAAGGATTGAGAGAAGAGAAAAAGCGACTCACCTGCTTTACAGTACTAGTTTGGTCCTCGGATTCCATCCTGCTTCGAAGAGCTTCAATAGCGATCTCGTCTAGGAGGTCCTCCGCATCGTAAACAGCATCTTTGAACTCATCGATCCAGTTCCTGACATTTGGGTTGGTAATCTGCTTATTTTCAGCATCATCCAACACTGCATTAACTGACATGAGCGTTGGCTTCAGTTTCTTAAGAAGGCCATCTTCAAGTTTCTTTCCTCTAACGAAGTCCAAGACCTCACCAGAAGCCATCCCGTCGAACATAATTTGGAGGGAAGCAGAGAGAAAAGCCCCACCCACCAAAGCCCCAGCCATTTTTTTCTTTTCTGGTAAACAAAGGTTTGAAGGAAGATAAAAAAGGAAGTGATTGCAAAAAATGAAATGAAGTGTACTGCACCGCGCTTACTGAACGGAAGTGAAGGCAATGTGTGTTTCACTCTATTCTCAAAGCAATATCTAGAGACTTGAGTCTTGGCCAATAAGAACACTGCCGAAAACGTTTACAGCGCTGATTTTCATTCTATATTATTTATCGAATACATTACAATGCATTGCCTCGGCTATCCACATGAATTATTTGTATTTTATTTTTCATGGAGATGGGAGATGTCATGTGCATTCATTTTAAATTGATAAACTCTAACAGCCACGTAAGCTGAGTTTTGTGCACTAAAATTAAATTTGAAAAGAAAAGAATCTTAAGCCAATTTGCAATACTTTCACTTGGGTGGTCGAATCAGTGGGAGACATCATTTGTAACGACTATCAATTCACAATAATTTATACAACTTTAATAAATTTATTTATTTTTTATTTAAACTTTTTTTCTTATAATAATGATTTATATTTTATGTCATTTGGGATGAATTTAAAAAATTTTGCACGACCATGTGATAAACCAACCCTTAAAATATAACATATGCAGATTGATGGATTACAGTAAATTTTCTCGGATACCCCATTAATATTATTTTTATCAGGTTTGAAAGCTCAAGAAGGTTATAATTTTTAATTGATAACTCTCTATGGTAAGAAAATAAATTGCAAAATCAAAAATTAATTTAAAATAATAATATTCAGTTTGATTTAAATTAATTTTTTTCATATTTGATTCGAATTAATTCAGATATTAAATATATATATTAGATTTGGATTAGATTTTAGATTGAAAAGTAAGAAATCAAAATAATTGAATCGAACTAAATTATATATTTTATTAATTTATATATATTTTAAATTTTTATAAAATAAAAATAATTGTTTTATATCTAAATATATTTAAATATATTAAAAATTATATTAAAATAATATATAAAAATAAAATTTAAAAACAAATAAACTCAATCGAACTCAATCAATAAATTCTATTTTATTTAAATTGAATCTTGTGAAAATTCGATTTGAATTTAAATCAAATGTATAAAATTTTAAAATTTTATACATTTAAAAAAAATCAAATCGAATTCAATTTGATACAAATTGATATCATTTTGATTCTCTAATATAAGATATTAACGGAGTCATGTGCAATTTCTTCTGGTTAAACATGGAAACAAGTTCCTAAAATTATTTCTATTTAATATTTGAAAAGAAAAGAATCTTAATAAGCCAATTTGCAGTATTATACTTTCATCAGGCAGTAAAATGAGTGAGGTTGATGTAATTTTTGATTTGGTAGACAAGACCCGCAGAAAGTTGAGATGAAAAGTGTATAGAATTTGTCATAGAAAATAAAGGTTAAGGGATGTAAAAGGTTATTCTTTAAGGTGTATTTTGAAATTCAAATCAATAAGATATATAAATAAAAATAGATTCAGAATTTATATTTAGTGGGAATAAATTGTTAAGTAATATTTGTTTATGCCTTTATTTAAAATTATTATAACTTAAAATAAATTTCAATAACATATAATGTCAAATACTTATAGAAATATAAAAAAATAAAATATTTGTATAAAAATTTAAAAATATATAAAAAATCAATTTTAGATAAAAAAAAAACTCTACGAGATTTTTTTTTTGACATTTTCATATAATAGTTGTTTTAAAAATAAATTTTTATCCAAAGTTTAAAAGAATATTATTCAAATTCATTTTTGAAATGTGTAATTAAATATATTTTGATTCTTTTTTTTTGAGTTAATATTAAATAATATTAAAAAATTATTATATTAACTATCAATAATGATTTTATATTTACACTCTGAATCATTACTCTATTCAGTACCATTTTTATTTTGTTAATACATATATCTATATACCTTTTAATATTATAAAAGATTTATACTTCAATGTTTATTTTACAATTTAATAGGGACAAAATATAAAAAAAATAAAATTTTGAGTTTGTTTCTAATAATTTTATTTTATTAGATTTTAGTGGGGGCAAAATAAAAAATTTTTTAAAATTTTAAATAACTTACTAATGGTAAAATTTAATTTTCAAGAATCTAATGGGAGCAGCTGCCCCCACCTAGATCCTCCCCATTACAAGAAAGAAATTGAGAGAGGAGAGCAAAGATTTTGAGAGAAGACAGAGAAGGTTGAGTTGTCAATGTCTAACCTCTTTGGTTTGATTCTATTTTTTTCAGATTGAGTGTTATTTATAATCTTAAGCAATTTGGTTGGCAGAGAAAATGGACTTTGAATTGTTAGAATTTGGTGAAGAACATTGTAAAAATCTGATTTTTTTTGTAACTTATAGACTTGAATGAAGAACAAAGGGAGAGTAGAACCCTTTTCCTGAATGCTCTGCTGTTTTCTTGTTTGTTTATGTATTTTAAGGGTGATAGCAGATCACCATTTGAAACCAACTTTCTTATTTCTATTTTGTTTCTATGTTTTAATCCAATAATATTAAACTCTACAACCCAAAAGGTTCTTTTCGTTTAAAATAGCAGAAGAGGTCTCTCTTGGAAAATGAAATGAAAGGTAGATGATGCATAAACAAAGAATGAGAGACGCTTACCAAAGAAGGAGATGCTAGCTGAGACCAACAATCAAGGTTGATATATATCACCAGTGATGTTCTAATTAAGATAGCCTTGAGATGGCTTGATTGTATCAACTGCCTCAAGACTTATAATTGCCACTGGAGACATGGTTAATAAAAAATAATCACAAGTCCTTTATGGCTTTTAGCAAATTTAGCAGACTTGGTATTTTGAGAGACGATTTAGCCAAAAGTTTACAAAAAATTAACAATTAAAAAGGGAAACAAAAATGAAATTGTATGAAATAAAATAGTGGATCAAAACACTAACAAGAATCCAGAAATGATAATCCACATCTGACTTCAATCATATAAGCAGTTCATTTTCAATTCTGCATGCACAATGTGTTTGAGAAGGTCTTCTACTCCTTCCTGTTGAATATGTAGAGCATTCCTTATGTTTGGCAATGTCTGCCTGCCATGGACTTGGTATTCTGGTTGTTGTTGACCTCTAATAGTTCCAAACCAAAGAAATCGATGTCCCGATCATTAACAAATTTGAAGAGTACGAACAATGTAAGATCATCCTCTATGTTGTCTTTGCCTCCGGATATTTTCACAGTGCATAGTCTTGAAAAAAGCAACTTCAAGCAATGAGGCATACCAGATCAGGTGTCTACTACGAATGTGGTAAAATACTTTTAATTGGCTATTAAGAATTTAAAAAGAACCATTAAACAGAAATAATGAGAAATGAAAAGTTGTCAGCCATTATATGGAGGGCACATGTTTCTAAAGTAAACTCACAGAAAGCATAAAATTGTACTGTCTTCGTCAAGTTTTGTGAGTTACTGAGCTCTCCATAGTCCAAACTCAGCTAATACATCTCAGTAACTTGAAAACTCTGAAAAGATAATAGAAACACTATTAAAAAAAGCTAAGCAAATCAGAAGGTCCTTAATTACCTAGAGACAATCAACTCAAAAATTTCTCCTAAGTAACGTGAAGAAAGCAATGAGGCATACCTCAAATAGCTGCTGGCAGCCTTAAACAAAATGCATAATACTTGAAGATTGCTAGCTGCAGGTCTACTCTGTATCCCAAAAAGCAGAATTCACCTAATGTATTATGGAAACTACTTTTATCATTAACCAATGAACCAAAAATGTTAAACTTAAGCAGTACAACTTGAAACTTTCATGGTGCATAGTCTTGTAAAAAGCAAGCTTCTTCCCTGTTAGCTCAGAAGGAACTTAACTAACCAGAAATATTCAACTCAAATTTGCTACAATTTCTTTTAATTAACATGAATTTAGTGCTGAGGCATACCTCAACTAGCAACTGCCAGCCTGGAATGTAATGCACAACAATTGAAGATCAGCAGGTCTACATACTTTCTATCCCAGAAAGCAGAAGTTACCTCTGAATTATGGAAACACAACTTTCAACACTAACCACAGAAGCATCACCGTGAGCTTTGTTCTGCCTGACATCAATAGAGCCAAAAAGTTTACTGTACATCATGTTCTACTTCAAACTAGCATAAATTTCTTGAAAAATGACCTTCAAAGTTTGATACTAATAATTAGTTACAGGCACGAGTTACCCGCATTTGATGTTTTTAGGTCCTTTGGAGGAAGAACCAGAGAAGACCATGCCACATCAAGTATCTGTAAAGAATGTGGTGAAATACTTTTAATTGGCTATTAAGAATTTAAAGAGAAACATGAACAGCAAGTATTGAGCCACAAGTAGTTGTGATCCTTTATACAAAAAGCACATGTATATAGAGTAAACCCACAGAAAGCATAAATTTACCCTGCCTTCTTCAAGTTTTTTCAAGTTACTGAGATCTCCAAAGTCCAAACTCGGCTAATACGTCTCAATAACTTGAAAAACTCTGAAAGGATAATAGAAAAACTATTAAACAAGGATAATAGAAACTGTATTAAAAAAAAAAAAAAAACTAAGCAAATCAGAAGCATCTTAATTACCTAGACACAATCAACTCAAAGAATTTCTCCCAAGTAACATGAAGCAAGTGATGAGGCATACCTCAAATAGGAACTAGAAGCCTTCATCAAAATGCATAACAAATGAAGATTGCTAGTTGCTGGTCTACTTTGTATCCCATAAAGCAGAAGTCACCTAATGTATCATGGAAACTACTTTTAGGACTAACCAATGAAGGAACAATGTTAACCTTAGTTGTTTCTGACTTCAATAAAGCAATCAGAAAAATATTTCTTCAAGTTGCAAAATATGTTCTAAAAATGGTGTACTAATGACTTCACATGGTTGGCATAGCAAGTTTAACTTCAAACTAGTATAAATTAAAAAAAACGGACCTCCAAAATTTTGATAATAATAGTTAGTTAGTGGCACTATTACCTGCATTGCTTTGTTGTAGGTCCTTTGGTGGAAAGAGTTAGATTATCTGTTAAGAGTGTGGTGAAATACTTTTCAATTAGCCATTAATAATTTAAAAGATAGAAACATAAACAGCAAGTGATAAGACATGAAAAGTTGTGAGCCTTTCTGGTACGATGAAAAGTCAAATCTTTCTAGAGTAAACACACAGAAAGGATAAAACCTGCCTTTTCCAAGTTTTGCAAGTTTTTGAGATCTATAGAGTCCAAACTCTGATAAAACATCTCAATAACTTGAAAAACTATGAAAGGATAAAAGAAACAGTATTAAAAACTCAGAAATTCTTAGTCACCATTGATAGGGAAATTACGGAAGTCACCAAGTGATATAACCTTAATAAAAACTTACAAACAAAAGGAACAATGACCTGTCCAAATCTATTTTATTCGATCACAAGGTTGTTGGTTTCCCAACAGAGTATGTGAAGAACTGGGTGAATTGTTTCCACTCTCCTCTCGAATCAACAAGCAAAGAACAGTTTTCCTTATCTGCTGGAAACAAAGCAATGTTAACATCCTATTTTCTAGTATGAAGTGATTACCAAATGCTACATTCAAGAGAAGTTAACAGCTTAAAATTTTCACCAATCTAAAAGTTAGAACAGTTTAATTGTTCTTTTCCTGAAAAAAGGTGTCACAGTGAAGTGAAGAAACAGAATAAACTGAAATTTTCTCCATTTTGACGAAAACTAATGCTTGTTATGGAAGTACTTGGTGGTAATCCTTGCCTTTCTCATTTCAGGGAATGGATGCCTATTGCACCTTCTTCTCTGTTACAAACCTATAAAGGCAGAAATAAATATACTATAAAGTTAATGAAAGTATACGAAATGAATTCAGAACTGAAAGAATCTAAATGTCCACATCTGCATGAAGCAGGGAACAATATTCACATATCAGCACAGGGATGTGTGTGAATAAAAACATTGTGTTAGTGATGCATAATGATAATAAATTCTTGACCGATAAATTTCTTGATCCATCAGATAAGCTGGAATTAAAAGGAAAAAAAAAGAAAAAGAAAAGCTAGCTCAATTTCTTCATTTATGAAAATACCAATCATTGCCTTTTATTTCAGGGAACGAATGTCTAACGCACTTCCTTGTCCATTTACGACATATAATGGAACAGATAATTAATATACTATAAAGTCAATGAAAGTATACCAAATGATTTTAGAAGTGAAACAAACTAAATGTCCAAATTCTCATGAAGCAGAAGACAATATTCACATGTTAACACGGGGATGCACGTGAACAGAAATGATTTGTTAGTGATGTATAATATGAATTAGTACAGATAAATTTCTAGATCCATTAATAAGCTGTAAATGAAAGAGAAAAAAAAAAAAAACCTACCTGGTTTTTGTCATATCTGAAAGTATAGCTTCTATTTCTTGAACTGTTTAGTAGAACCAAAAACCAGGAAAAAATTTATGAGTAGAAGGTGCAAATAAACCAAAGGGACATTAAGTTGGGAAAAACTGAAAAATGATGCAGAAATGAAACAAAAAAAAGATGATTGACACAAAGAACAAGGAATGCACAAGAATACCAGAGTTAGTTAGGCAACTATCCATCGCTTCATAGGGATAACGTAAAACTAGTTTCTTGAGCTGGGAGGTTGCAATCACTAATTTTCCCTCAAAAGACAAGGAATCAAATTCTACCAACTCCAATTCATGGATTGCTGTAATTGAAAGTTAATCCACAAACTGTCCCCCTTCACTATTCTCAAGTTTCATCGAAAGGGCAAGATGTCGATTAGCTTAGAACAATATTAAGTAACGTTCTTCAAGCTGAGAGAACACCCCACATTGTTCATTCTCTTCAGAAAAAAACTAGTTCCTGTCATTCAAGATTTGTTAAAATCTTAATGCTTCTTTTAGAAACTAAGACGCGAGCGTTGTGAGCCTTTCCGGAACAACAAAAAATCAAATCTTTATAGAGTAAACACATGGAAAGGATAAGGTTACCCTGCCTTTGTCAAGTTTTGTAAGTTGCTCAGATCTACAAAGTCCAAACTCCAACAATACTTCTCAATAACTTGAAAAGTCCTGAAAGGATAATCAAAGCAATATTAAAAGGAACTAAGCAATTCAGAGTCACCATTGATAGTGAAATAATGGAAATGACCAAGTAATATACCCTCAATGAAAACTTAAAAACAGAAGGAAAAATGACCTGTCCAAGTCTATTTCATTTCATCACAAGGCTGTTGATTTTCGAACAGAGTATGCGAAGAATTGGGTGAAATTCTTTCCTCTCCTCTAGAATCCACAAGAAAAGAAAATTTTCTTAATTTGCTGGAAACAAAGAAATGCTAACATCCCTTCTTGTGTCGTGAAGTGAATACCAAAATGCAACATTCAAGAGAAGTGAACAGCTTAAAATTTTCACTGATCTGAGAGTTGAGAACACATTGTGTCGTGGTAAAGTGAAGAAACAGGACAAACTGACATTTTTCTCCATTTTGACAAGAATTGATGCTTGTTATGCAAGTAGTTGACGCCAATCTTTGCCTTTCTTACTTCAAAGAATGGATGCCTATTGCACCTTCTTCTCCATCAGAATCTATAAAGGCAAAAACAAATATACTCTAAAGTCAATGCAAGTAAATGAAATGAATTCAGAAGTGAACGTATATGAAAATAATTAAGAAGTGAATCAAACTAAACGTATAATAATCAATTATTGATAGATAAATTTCTCAATCGATCACTTAAGTTGGAATTAAGAGGAAAAAGGAAAGAAAAGCTACCTGTTTTACCTCATATTTGAAAATACAGCTTCTCCTTCTTCAACCTTTTAGTTTACAAAATGATAAATGTGTTAAACAGAACAGGCTAGCAAGTCTTCAGAAAGATTACAAGAAATTGAGGTTGATGCCATGCTTGTGAATCACAGTCGCTAACACAAGTTGGTTGCAAAAAGCCTAAAATCTGGCAAGAACATAAGAATAAAAAACCTGGTAAAAGTTAAAGAGAAAAGTGACAACAATGGTCAGTATACGCAATACACCAAATACATGCTAAATAAAAGAAGTACCAGAAGATGCAAATAAACCAAAGCCACATTAAGTAGGGAAAAATGGAAAATGCTACTTTACACCTTGTGCAGACAAAGCAGTCCCTCAAGAGGCAGCGAATCAAATTGAACCAACTCAAATTCATGCATCGCTGCAACTGGAAGTTAGCCCACAAACTGTCCCCAATCATTATTCTCAAGTTTCATTGAAAGGACAAGACCTCAATTAGCTTATTTAAGTTCTTCAAGATGAGAGGATGACCCCACATTCTTCATTGTCTTCAGATAAACCTGTTCCTGGCATTTCAGGATTTGTTAAAACCTCAATGCTTCATTCGAAAATAATTATTTGAGAGGATGCATTTGAATTTTATTTGTTGTTCATTTTTGTGGGGATGAGTGTAGTCATTACATTTAAGAGGGTATAAAAGGATGTATTTAGAATTTGATGTAATCTGGATGGCTTAGTTGCTTAAAGAACGTACCAATGGAAGTTAGGATCCACAGATACTACTCAGTTCAACCGGAGAGCTCTTTCAAAAGGAACAGCTGTCCAAGTTGTTTGAGTAGTCCTTGAACTGAAATACTGAATGAATCATTATGGTAAGGACGACAGTGTTTCTGGTTTGAACTAAAGAATACGGTAGCCACCGTTTTCATAACTGTACAACAGAAGGAAGTGAAATCCTTTTGCTTTATTGAGTTGAAATTTGAGCATATCATCATTGCAGCTCTAGGAAATCCAAATTTGAAACGAAATACCAGAGCTGGATGCCAAGCCATCAAAGTATTGAAAACTTTGATGCAGATAATTCTGGGATAGAAAAATGAATTATCAATCTCCGGGCTAAAGCAAATCATGTGACAGGAACTTCATTTGAATGGGAATCATAAATTAGAATTTCCAACTGATACTCAAAAGATGAGTCCTGGAAAGTTATAAAACAATTTGCAGCAAATTAAGCATCAGTTGACCCTTGTATTATTCAAGTAATAAAGAATTTGGCATTGAAATGCTAGAAAAGATAGCCTTCTTGTTTTTTTTCCTTTTCATGCAGAAGAACACGATTCAACAAATCATAAAATTGCAACAACAAGAGAAAATATTTCATTGACGACAAATCTATGGGCAAAGCGAGAAAAGAAGATAAAAAATAAACAACACAATTCACAAAAAATAGCCTAACTAAGACATAACAAAAATTAAAAGAAAAAAATGAGAACACAGTATAAAAAGCTCAACAGATTAAGAATTTTTGAAAGAAAAAAAATCACCACACAAATACGCAGAAATTAATGGAGAACCTGATCCTGAGTTAGATAGAGTTAACAATTATGGCAAGGGGACTGATTGGGACATTTGGCTTTTGAGTTCATCATTAATTTGAATGACAGGGATGCGGGTCAATTTAATTTGTTTGTAATCATATAATTCATATATTCATGATTATTACTATCAAATAACGTTTACCACATTTGAAATCTGAATTCATCTTCTACAATGTGAATTTACCAATGCAATCTAAACTTTTTTTAACATAAAAAACCGTTACATGAATTAACTAAATTAAACTCTGAATTAATGTAATCTAAAATTTCATGAAAGTAATTTGCAACCCTGTAATTTCATGAAGATTGAAGAATAATGAGTTAAATAAATTATAAATTTGGAATATAAAAATAGAGAAATACTACATAATCCACAATTAAACTTTGCAAAAGGCAAAGAGCAGCAGTAATAACAGCTACCTGAGGGATGAGAAGGATTGCGTATTTTGATAGAATGACTTTGAAATGTAAAAAGAGAAATGTAGCTGTACCTGAGTCTTTCTATAGAATGACTTCATCGTCAAATCCAATGACAGGAATGTGGGAAATGTTGGGCCAATCTTTACCTTTCTCCTTTTCGCAACTTTTTCTCAGCAAAGGACAATTGCGAATGGAAATGTAAGAAACAGAGTTAGGAAGCATATTTGCCGATATGGACTGGAGTGTAGGACAGCTGCCAATAATCAATTCACGAAGAGACATGAGGTGTTGAAAGCCCTTGCCGCTCAAAAGCTTAAGATTTGGAAGACCCCATATCACAAGAGAAGTAAGAGAAGAGGGCAGCAGATGTTCATCTGGAAAAGACTCCATCTCTCTTGCATGGTAGATTGAGAAGCGTGTAAGTGAAGGGAGTGTTTGCAAACTCCATTCCCTCCTCATCATGCCTGCAATCAGCTTATCACTTCTTGAGATATAAATACGATTTAATTTGGAGGGCAAACCTTCTCTTGGAAATGACTCTATTTCTGGACAATCATCTATTGACAAATGCACAAGGGATGGGAAGAGGGACTGCATATGCTCTGGCATTGACTTTAAATTTACGCAAGAGTAAAAATCAAGTGATGTTAAATTGGTCGCAGATAAGCCCTCTTCAATTTGAAAAGATATCAAATTAGGGCAATCACAGATTTCCAAAGAATTGAGAGACGCGAGATGCTGTCGGTGAGGCCCTTCTGATGCACCAATCGACTTCAAGTCTTCACATCCCTTAATAGAAACACGATTTAGCATAGGGAATGAAGCTAATGGAAAAGATTTTAGTGCATAACACCTCCTGCCTACTATGTCCAAGGATTCAAGGGATGTATACAAGATGATTTTGGAATAATCCAAGAACCTACAACTGTCGATGTTCAATTGCTTCAGCGTGTTAGGCAGACTACCTTCAGCAATGGATCTGAGATTGTAACAATCCCGCATGGTTAACTTTTCAAGACGAGTGCAGCGTTGCATCATCTTCTTCAATTTGGAATCATTCACATTGGAATCCTCAATTCGTAACTCCCGAAGCCCACAAGGCAATGGCTCCAATTGCAATGCATCACATCTCTCTAACTCAAGTTGGAAAATGCTTGGTGCCTTTGGAAGCAACCCTCCAAGCTTCCCACAATTTTCAATAACAACTTTGGTTAAAGATGGGAGGTGCTCGGGCAGACACCTGGTTAGCTCGGGACAATTTCTTATGCTTAGCTCTTGCAGAAGAAAGAAGGCTTCATCTCTCCAAGAAAACCATTCTTCCCACTCTGGCATATCCTCAAATCGTAGAATTTCAAGAGATCCAAACGGTTTCCTCGAGGCATCACAGTGCCCATAGAACTCATCACCGACTGTTACTACTTTAAGAAACCCTGAAATAGAGAGAGATTTCAAAGATGATAATTGTCCAAGCGGTGGCAAGGATGGGCAATAGTAGCAATCCGTTAAGCACAAAGATACCACATTTGAGAAGGAAGAACGCCCCACCCATTCAGGAAATCTAGTACCACAGTAAAAACTAATGACAAGATGCTCCAAGTTTGTATGAGGCTCCAGTTGTTCAAGTACTTCTTCATCACGCTTTGAATCATCATCATCTATGCGATCATCCTCATTCCATATCAACTCCAACTCCTTAAGGTTCATCTTATCCTTCAAATTGGCATCTTTGGCATCCTTTGCACAGACAACATTTTGCAAACCTGAAATAGCAAGTCTTCCACATAGATGTTGGAGCTTTCCCAACTCATTAATGCTTGAACCAGTTTGCTTGCTTAAAACAAAATCTGTTAATGTCCGAAGTTCTTTCAATTTGTCCATTCCTTGTGGCATCATTTCTAACTTTGTTTCCCGAATATTGAGATGTTGCAAGTTGATCAATCTTCCCACGTCTTTGGGCAACTCAACAAGGCATTTGCAATAAAACAATGTTAATGTTTGCAAATTATACAATGTACTCAAAGAGTTCGGTAACCTTTCGATTGAAGTTTGCGAGAGATTCAAATATCGCAAATGTTTCAAATTGTCAATTTCTTCCGGTAACTCAGTAATATTACAATATTTAGCCAAAGAAAGTACTCGTAAGCGTCTAAATTTTACTATCAAATCATGCATTATCTGACTGGTAACATAACAAGAGGGTGGAGATGACTCCAAAGTTAAGAATGTTCGCAAACTTTTTGCCTTAGATAATGTTTCAAATTTCTTAAGCACATCATATTTTTCTTGGACATTGGACAAATGACGAGTCTTTTTAGTTATTTCACATGAACCACCATCACCTTCCAATCTGCAAAAGAATTCTCCGGATATAGATTTAGCCAAGTCACTAATTAGATCATGCATGACAAAGCAAGATTTATTCCCACTTAATTGTTGAAAAAACGACCTCAACTTTAAGTCTTTGAAGTACTCGTTACCTCGTTCTTCCTCATTGCCATTTTCTTTGGGAAACTGTAAAAGACCTTCAGCCATCCATAATCGAATGAGTTCTTCCTTTTTGAATTCATAATCTTTAGGAAAAATTGAACAATATGCAAAGCAACGCTTCAAATGTGAAGGAAGATAATAATAACTTAATCTTAATGCCGGAAGAATAGTACCTGCTTCATCTGGTATGTCCCACAAATTGCTGTGTAATATTTTATTCCATTCATCGGCATCTAGTTTACAACGCAGAAGACCTCCAAGTGTTTTTGCAGCTAAAGGAAGACCTTTGCATCTTTTGGCTATTGCCTCACCGATTACCTTCAAATTTGGATGCATGCTCGGGCATGTATTTACAAATGCATGTTTTGCGAACAGTCGCCAACAATCATCATCAGATAAGATGTTAAGGTGATAAGTTGGGACGTTCCTCATGATTGATGCAACGTTTTCATCACGTGTTGTTACAATAATCTTGCTATGTTTTGCTCCAGAAGTGAAAGGGCTTTTCAATGCTTCCCAGACATCATATCTTTTATGCCAAACATCATCTAAAACAAATAGAAACTTCTTGCCCAATAGCTTCTCCTTTAGTTTAAGTTGAAGCTGGTTTAGATTCTTACCATCATCACAACTAGAAGTGATCTCATCAAGAATGGTTTTGGTTACCCTGTAAGCATCAAATTCCTCTGAAACACACACCCAAGCTTTGAGGTCAAACCATTCCTCCACTCTCTTGTCGTTGTAGATCAATTGGGCAAGGGTGGTTTTACCAACCCCGCCCATACCCACTATTAGAATCACATCTATCTGATTTCCAGTTGGATTTTGTGGGTGCAACAACTTCATTATTGCTTCTTTATCATCATCTCTGCCATAAACACCGGACTCATCCACCAAAGAAGTTGCAGGTAATCTTTGAAATGCCTTTTCTCCTCTACAATGTTCTTTCAAACCGAGGATATCTTTTTGGTTGACTAGAGATTCTAGTCTTCCAAGGATCTCTCCCAGCTTTGATTCCATCCCCTCCTTGAAAGGATTGAGAGAAGAGAAAAAGCGACTTAGCTGCTTTGCTGTACTAGTTTGATCCGTCCTGCTACGAAGAGCTTCAATAGCGATCTCATCTAGGAGGTCCTCCGCATCATAAACTGCATCTTTGAGCTCATCAATCCAGCTTCTGACATTTGGGTTGCTATTCTGCTTATTTTCAGCATCATCCAGCACTGCTTTGACTGACATCAGGGCTGGACTCAGTTTCTTCAGCAGAACATCTTCAAGTTTCTTTCCCGTAATAAGGTTCAGAACATCCCCAGAAGCAACCCTATCAACCAGAACTTTGATGGAAGCAGAGAGAAAAGCTTCACCCACTAAAGCCCCAGCCATGTTTTTCTTCTTTTATGGTAAAGAAAGGTTTGAAGGAAGATAAAAAGGAAGTGATTGCAAACAATGAAATCAAGAGTTGTGAAGGTACATGTGTGTGTTTCAGTCTACACTTAAAAGGCAATGGGGATTCGTTGAATACTGCAACAACGTTACTTTTCTATAGCCTAGAATGCTGGTAAATATATATTATTTTTTATTTCAAAACTGATAATGAAATGTAAGTTTTATATTTAAATCTCTCTTTCATTTTGTTCATATGTATCATCATAATCCAAAATGTTCCAAAAAAACAGAATATATCCCAAAATTTTTTAAATACAAAAAAACGTACTTTGTCTTTGGTTACATCATTGATAATTACAACCCTTTTCATCCTTTTAGAACCTTTGGTTTGGGATTATATATATATATATATATATATATATATATTTATTTATTTATAATATTAATCTTTCTTACTCATGCATATACGTAAATAATTTAACACATAGATATTACAACTTTTATTTTAAAATTTCATTTTTCATTAATAAAAACAATACTATAATAAATCAATAACAATAAAATAAAGCACCAATATAGATAATTTTATATGAAAAGGAATCAATTTATACCGATACAAAATTTTTTAGTTTTACATATGTTTTTAATTATTGATTTCAATAAATCTAATTAATGAGATCAAATTATTTTTTTCAACTTGTCTCTCTTATTTCTTAGATTTATTGAAATCAATAATTAAAAAAAATATAAAACTATTTTTTTTGTAAGTTAATACCTCTCCATTATTATATCATTGATCATTTATATATAAAAGTATGAACTTTTAAAAGTGTTAAAAATTATAGACTTCAATAGTCTTATAAATTTTTAAATTATCAAATTTATCTTTAAATATATAATTTTTATTAATTTACTTAAGTTTAATCTAAATCAATTAAAATTAAAAATAGAGTTTAAATTAAATTCAACTATTTAAAATTTTAAAATTTTAATTCCAAAAGTTTTAAAAGTGATTGACTAAAATATTTTTAGTAAATATTTTAATAAATTTTAATTTAAGTGAATTTTTATTATTAGACTTTTTTATAATTAGTCTCAAAAGAACTAAAAATAATTGACTAAAATACCTTTAATAAAACTTTAATTCCAAAAAATATTAAAAGTTATTGATTAAAATATCATTAGTAAATATTTTTAAAATTTAATTTAAATAATTTTTTTATTAGTAGACTTCTTATTTTATAAGTAAAATAATTTTTCATATAAAATAAAAATATAAATAGAACGAGATCAAATCTTAACGAGCATAAAAATAAAATAATTATAAAAAATTTATTTTTTAATTAATGTAAAAATAATTATATATACTTTATATTAATAAATAAATTTATTAAAAATAATCATAATTAAGTTATTTTCTTAATTCTATGCGATGCAATATATACGTTGAAAGCAAGATGATAGCATTGTGATCTACACTCGAAAAATGTTTTTTTTTTTTCTTCTTTTGGACAGATGCAATAATTGTATGTATTTTCCTTGACTTCATCGATATTTTACAATAATAAAAACAACTATGAAAAAGATTAACAAAACAAGTTTGTCGATTGAACAAATAATTAATATTAATTTGATTGTTACGTATGCTTCACTTATTAATTTAAGTAACATGATCTAGTTTGTGGATTGTCAATAGTCATTCAATAAACATTTATGAATTATTATGAAATATTTATCTGAATTAAAAGATTATTTATATAAAATGGAGTTTGAAATCTTCTTCATTTAGTTTGTATATACTCATCATCATCGAAAAATTTTCACAAAAAAATATTTTATCCTAAATATTTTATTTTGATATTAGTTATATCCTAAAATTTTAAATATGAAAGAAGTACCTCACCTATTGCCAATTTTTTAAATGATCTCATAAAAATTTCACAAAAATCTTAAACTTTGATATATTGTAAATATATAAATTTTATATACTGTTAGTGATCAAATATTCTACTTCATTAATAAGTAAATATCAATTATTAAAATAAATATACAAAAATTAATATTTTTTAAAAAACTTATTCATTGATGAGGTAACATCATTTGATTTGCTTTATTAATGAAATGATATTATCTAATTCATCAACAGTATATAAAATCTATATACTGATAGCATATCAATTATAAATCTAAAAATTTTATATATTTTTATAGTTTTATTTTGTAAGTTTTTATTTTAGATACCCAACTCTGAGCTTCATATTGTACAAAAAAAGTATTAAAACCTTCAAATTTACTGATTTCTAGTTTAATCAAATGTTCTTATGAAAAAAATCGATGTTTGTCTTTCATGTTTTTTTTTAATACAAGGATCTCGAGATTCTAGGAAATAAACTAGTTGATACTTTCATTATGCCTAATTAGCATTTCAGTGTGATTATGAGATTGTTGTCAACCTGGTCGGACCAACGGCTTAAATTTTGCTCAATTGCTAGCTTTTAATCACTCAGGGGGAAAAAAAAACCAGAAAACTACTTCCGGGTGAAGAAAAATATTTATTATCAGATAATTCACTTGTTCTTAAAAGCTCCAATTATGTAAAGTGGTTTGGCAGATGATTTAGCCAAGAGTTTACAAAAACTTTACAATTAAAAAGGAAAATAAAAATGAAATTATATGAAAAAACTAGTGGATGAAAACACTAACAAGAATCCAGAAATGATGATAAGCAGTTCATTTTCCAATTTGCATACACAATGTGTTTGAGCAGGTCTTCTTCCACACCTTCTCTCTCCTGCTGAATCTGTGGAGCACTCCTTCTGCCTGGCATGGACTTGGCGTTGTGGGTGTTATTGACCTATAATAGTTCCAACTGAAAGGAATCGATGTCCCAGTCATTAACCAATATGAAGAGTATGAGCAATACAAGATCATCCTCTATGTTGCCTTGGATATTCCAAAATTTATGATGAAGCATATACAACTTGCTGCAAACACATTCAACCTCTTGCTCAAGCTGGTAGTATTCCACTTGAAATTTTCGCAGTGCATAAATCTTCATAAAAAAAAAAAAAAAACCAAGCTTCTATGTTAGCTCCAAAACATAATAAATCTAGATGCAGAAGGAACTTAAGAAGTTTTGATGCATACCTCAAGTAGCAACTGCCAGCCTGGAAAGCAATAAACAGCATTGAAGATCACCAGTTGCAGATCTACATGCTTTGAATCCCAGAAACTAGAAGTCAACTCCATGTTATGGAAACATTGCTTTTAACACTAACCATAGAAGCAACAATATGAGCGTTGTTCTGCATGACATCAATAGAGCCAAAAGATTATTGTAAAGCATGTTCAACTTCAAACTAGTATTACCTTCAAAGTTTGATAATAATAATAATAATAATTAGTTACAGGCATGAGTTACCTGCATTTGAATTTTTTTTAGGTACTTTGGCGGAAGAACCAGAGAAGAACATACCAGATCGGATATCTGTAAAGAATGTGTGAAATCCATTTAATTGGCTTTTGAAAATTTAAAGAGAACCATTAAACAGCAAGTACTGACATACAAATAGTTACGATCTTTTTATACCAATGCACATGTATATAGAGTAAACTCAATGAAAGTGTAAATTTACCCTGCCTTCTTCAAGTTTTTTAAGCTACTGAGATCTCCGAAGTCCAAGCCCTGCTAACACATCCAATAACTTGAAAACCTCTGGAAGAATAGAAACATTATTAAAAAGAACTGAGCAATTCACGGTCACCAGTGGTAGGAAAATAACAGACGTCATCAAGTGATAACCTCAATAAAAACTTATAAACAAAAGGAACAATGACCTATCCAAGTCTATTTTATCTCATCACTAGGTTGTCAGTTTTCCAGCAGATTATGTGAAGAGTTGGGTGAAATTATTTTCACTCTCCTATTAAATCCACAAGCAAAGAACAATTTCCTTATCTGCTGGAAACAAATCAATGTTAACATTGATTACCCAAATGCAACATTCAAGATAAGTGAACAGCTTAAAATTTTAAAAAATGTAAGAGTTAGAACAGTTTAATTGTTGTTTTCCTGAAAAAAAATTGTCATAGAGAAGTGAAGAAAGAGAATACACTGACATTTTTCTCCATTTTGACAAGAACTAATTCTTGTTACGCAAGTACTTGGTGTTAATCTTTGCTTTTCTCGATTCAGGGAATGGATGCCTATTGCAGCTTCTTCTCCATTACAAACTATAAAGGCGGAAACAAATATACTATATAAAAGGTCAATGCAAGTATAAGATATGAATTCAGAAGTGAAACAATCTAAATGTCCAAATCTGCATGAAGCAGAGGAAATATTCACATGTTAAAACAGGGATGTGTGTGAATACAAACATTGTGTTAGTGATGTATAATAATCAATTATTGACCAATAAATTTCTTGATCCGTCACATAAGCTGGAATTGAAAGGAAAAAAATAACGAAAAGCTATCCGATTTTCTTTATATCTGAAAATACAGCTTCTCTTTCTTCAACTTTTTAGGTTAGAATAGTACTACAAATGAGTTAAACAGAACATGCAAGCAAATGTTCAGAATGATTATAAAAAATTTGAGATTGATTGCCATGCTTGTGGATCACAGTTGCTAACATAAGATTGTTGCAATAAAACCTCAAATCTGGCAAGAACACATGGACATATAACCAGGTAAAAGTTCATGAGATAAATGACACCAATGACCAGTACATGCAATAAACCAATTATTGTATTGCAATGAAGAAACAGAAGATACTGTATTTTCTCCATTTTGACAAGAACTAATGCTTCTTATTCAAGTACTTGACACCAATCATTGCCTTTCTCATTTCGGGGAACGGATGTTTAATGGTGCTCCTTTTCCATCTACAACAAATAATGGAATAAATAATTAATATACTATAAGGTCAATGAAAGTATAACAAATGAAATTAGAAGTGAAACAAACTACATGTCCAAATTCTCATGAAGCAGAGGACAATATTTAACACAGGGATGCATGTGACAGAAATGTTGTGTTAGCGATGTATAATAATCAGTTATTGACCGACATATACACTTCTTGATCCATTAGCAAGTTAGAATTGAAAAAAAAAAACAAAACTACCTGATTTTTGTCATATGTGAAAATATAGCTTCTATTTCTTTAACTGTTTCGTTGGATAAAAAACCTGGAAAAGATTCATGAGTAGAAGGTGCAAATAAATCAAAGGGACATTAAGTTGGGGAAAAACTGGATAATGATGCTGAAATGAATAAAAAAAAAGATGATTAACACAAAGAAAAATGAGTGCACAAGAATACCAGGGTTAATTGGGGAACTATACATCTCTTCATAGGAATGACATAATGCTAGTTCCTTGAGCTGGGAGGATGAAATCTCTAATTTTCCCTCAAAAACCAAGGAATCAAATTCTACCAACTCCAACTCATGGATTGCTGTAATTGGAAGTTAAGCCACAAACCATCCCCCTTCACTATTCTCAAGTTTTATTGAAATGTCGATTAGCTTAAGACAAGCTTAAGTAAAGTTCTTCAAGCCAAGAGAATGTCCCCACATTCTTCATTCACTTCAGAAAAAAAAACTAACCTGTCAATTCAAGATTTTTTAAAATCTTACTGCTTCTCTTCGAAACAAGTATTGAGAGGGTGAATTTGAATTTGAATTTGATTTGTTTTTTTTTTTTGTAAGGATGAGGGTAGTCATTACAGTTGAGAGTACAAGGATGCTTTTGGAATTCACTTTGCTTTCTAGGTAGTTTAAATACACTACTTGAGTCATTCTATAAATCCATGTATTTGAGTGTAATTATATAACTCACTTATACATGAGTATTACCACATAATTCTACTACATTTGAAATCGAAATCCATCTTCTTAAAGTGGAATTTCCAAATGCATTCCAAAATTTCATGGACTCTAGATGACTTAGTTACTAAAAGAACGTACCCATGGCAGTTAGGATCGTACTCAGGAAAACCCTCAAATTGGGAAATCTTTCCAGAGGAGCAGTTGTCCAAGGTCTTTGAGTAGTCCTTAAACTGAATGAATCATGGAAAGGAAGACAGTGTTGCTGGAATGGACTAGAGAATATGGTAGTCACTGATTTCATACTAGCATGAGACCAAAGCAGTAAAAGAAGTTTTTCTTGATTGATTTGAAAGCTTTGCACATTGTCATCCCTGCACTAAGAAATCCAAATATGAAATGAAGTATGCGGAACTTGATGCAAAGCTGTTGAACCACCAAAAACTGACATTCTGATAATTCTGGGATAGAAAAATGAACACTTGTAGCTCCAGGCTAAGGTAGGTGAGCTCATACAAGAACTTCATTTGGATGGAAATCATCAATTAGGATTCAGAAGTAGAGTGATGGGAGGCTGTAAAAATATTTGCCACAAATTAAGTATCAGGTGTAGATCCAATTCCATCTAAAAGCGGAATGCACAAGTCAATCCTTGCATTATGAAATTAATTTTCTCAAATTAGTGGAAGCATCAATATATGAATTAATTGTGCTTGAAGTGAATAAAACAAACCACAAAATCATTCGTAATATTCAATTTTTGTTCAACCAATTATAAAAACCAGGATAGAAAACCCTGTTGTATTTCATTGCTGTCTACTGATCTAGTAGTCTTGCCCCCCAAGCCAAAACAGTTCAGTGACACCTCATTTTATAGTCTTGTTGGCATGTTAATCTTTTCATGTCACCATACACAATGGAATTCAGGCCACCTTATCATAATTGATGAGAAATATAGGCCAGTTTGTTTTGATGTCAATAAATGATGATTAATGAGCTATGGACACAGACAATATGGCAGACATGAATCCAAAAATAAAATAAGTTTCTATCAAAATGTCCAACGAAATTTATTTTTGTTATAAACTAAGCTTGTAAGGGTGACTTTCTATTGACCAAGGTATGCAAGCCTCTTACGCTGAACCGGGAAAAAAATAGGATAAAGGATATAGCGGACAAAGCCAAGTTCTACTTGAAAACATGTGAGGAGTGGTGATGGTGGCAAAATGTGGCTGCAAGTTTTAGCTTACTTGAATCGATGTGCTAACTCAACACGATTTTCTTTTCTGGTCCCTTTTGATGAAAGGCCAACAAAAGATTTGGATATAACAATACTAAAATGGCAAGTGGTTTCATAAAGGATGGGTTAAGTGATGCAAATTTACAGGCATTTTGGCCTATTCCAATACCAATAATTTCAATAGTTTAACTATAAGGATGTTTTCATATAGTCAAGTTAACAAGTCCATTCAATTTACAATGGTTTCTTTTAATAAAGGCTTTCGCAAAGTGAATAGAGTAGAAAAGTTAAAACTAAAGCAGACATCCAGAAGCGTCATGATCATTTTTTTTTATCTGATTTTGATCAACCAAGCCAAGCCTGAATGTAAGCCTAGGCCAGAGTTGCCATGCCTACAAAATTTGAAAGACAGATTCAATATAACAAATTATTATGTAAAAAGATGACAGATAAAATTTGGGGAATGGCCAAAAGTTGTGTGAACTGAAAATTTAGCACAGCTTGCCCATATGAGCTCTGGAAGTTCATGGGAGACATGAGATGTTTTCTCATCTACTCTTACAGGTTGTCTCCTTGATGGATCGGCGGTAACAGAGAGTGTGAGCTATGTCTTTGAGGTTGTATTTGATCATTTAGAGTTGGTAGTAGAGGTTTTGTCACTGCATATAATGATTCTGGAGTATGTCTTCTTGTAAGCGATGAGGAAAGAAACAAACGGCTTAAACTTGAAGCAGTAGGAGTGCCCAAAAACATGATATTCGTAGATGGTACACTACTATACAGATCAATAGACTGCCTGAAAAATTAAAAGAAGGCATAAGCATTTGAATCTAAAAGTGGAAGCAATGCCTAGTAAACAACTATTTTACCTTATTCAACTATCTAATACTACTTTGGCAAAAAAAAAAAAAAAACCATCTAATACTACACAGATTAAAGGTTATATAATAGTTGCTAATGTCACATCTTGTTCTCCCGGAACATTATTAGTTTACTTTGAATACAGGACTTTTCAACTTACACAAATTTGGCAAAATCTTATATACCAGCATATACTACTATTAGAATGAATGAAGAAAATATATCTTGAAGGTTCCAGCAGCAGAATGAAAAAGAATCGACTAAACAAAATTGAATGAGAGAAAACTAATTTTAGTTGTACATTATAGTTTAAAATTCAAATCATCAGCCAATTTAAATTGTCTATCTCTACTAGGGGCCCATAGAGGATTCATATGTCCAATATTAACAGGGTAGATAATTCAATAATTGGAGATGGATTGGTAGGCCAAAGTTGCATAGAGAAGCATCTCCTCTACAAGGTTTTACACAACATTCATCCGTGATTGTTATCACGAATGTATCAATCATAGTTTAAGTACTTTCTTTCCCTTTCTAAAGATCGATTTAAATCTACCTGTACTTTATTTATATACTGCTGTTTACCATCTCCTATACATAATACACACTCTATGCCTCATCAAGAAAAGCATGTCAAAGTAATGATATTAACAAACATCCTATCCAGGAAGAGAAAAGCAAATATTAAAATTGTTTCAACGACTGGTTCTTATGGTAGCTCTTGAAGATTAACTAAAAGAATCTTTGAAAGAAAGAATAAAAATCCAGGCTGCTATGAAACTTAATTTATGAAAGTGAACAGAATTACCAGAGAAAAAGAGCAGCAGTACAATCATGTAAGCATGTGAAGAGAAAATGACCTATAACTTTGAGGCCATGAAGTGTAGTAGGAAGTGGGATTGTTCAGCCGTTGGTTTTCAGCAGAAGAGTCAGAAGCATTAGATACATTTCCATCTTTCCCTTTATGTCTCTGAATTTGAAAAGATATCAAATTAGGGCAATTACAGATTTCCAAAGAATTGAGAGATGCAAGATGCTTGTGTTGAGGCCCCTTTAATGCACTAATCGACTTCAAGTTGTCGTAGAAGTTGATAGAAAAGGGAATGATCCTAATGGGAAAAATTCCAGAGGAGGACACTCGCCTGCTATGTCCAAGGATTCAAGGAACGCATACAAGAAGATTTTGGAATAATCCAAGAAGCGACACCATCGGACGTTCAATTGCTTCAGCGTGACAGGCAGATTGCCTTCAGGAAGGGATCTGAGATTAGAACAATACCACACAGTTAACTTTTCAAGACGAGTGCAGTATTGCATCATCTGGCCCAATATGGAATCATTTATATTCGAACTTTTAATTTGCAACTCTCGAAGCCCACAAGGCGATGGCTCCAATTGCAATGCATCACATTTCTCTAACTCAAGTTGGCAAAGGCTTGGTGCATTTGGAAGCAAGCCTCCAAGCTTCCCGCAATTTTCAATCACAAGTTTGGTTAAAGATGGCAGGTGCTTGGGCACAGACTTGATTAGTTTGGGACAATTTCTTGTGCTTAGCTCTTGCAGAAGACAGAAAGTTTCATCTTTTGAATAAAACCATTCTTCCCACTCAGGCATATCCTCAAATCTTAGAATTTCAAGATATCCAAACGGTTTACTCGAAGCATCATAGTACCCACGGAACTCATCACCGACTGTTACTGCTGCGGAAAACCTTTTAATTGAGAGAGATTTTAAAGATGATAGTTGCCCAAGCGGTAGCAAGAAGAAGCAATATTTGCAATCACATAACTCCACAGATACTACATTTGAGAATGAAGAATGCCCCACCCATTCTGGAAATCTTGTACCTCTATAACACCTAATAACAAGATGCTCCAAGTTTGTATGAGGCTCCAGATATTCAAATACTTCTCTATCATGCCTTGAATCATCAATAAGATCATCCTCACTCCATATCAACTCCAACTCCTTAAGGTTCATCTTATCCTTCAAATTGGCATCTTTGGCATCCCTTGCACTTACAACATTTTGCAAACCCGAAATGGCTAGTCTTCCACATAGATGCTCCAGCTTTCCCAACTCATTGATGGTTGAACAATTTTGCTTGCCTAAAACAAAATCTGTTAATGTCCGAAGGTCTTTCAATTTGCCCATTCCTTGTGGCATCATTAGTAACTTTGTTCCTCGAATATTGAGATGCTGCAAGTTGACCAATCTTCCCATGTCTTTGGGCAACTCAACAAGGTATTTGCAATAAAACAATGTTAATGTTTGCAAACTATACAATCTACTCAAAGAGTTCGGCAACCTTTTTATTGAAGTTTCCGAAAGATTCAAATTACCAATTTTTTGGGGCAACTCATTGATATCAGCATATTTAGCAAAAGAAAGTACTCGTAAGTACCTAAATTTTACTATCAACTGGCTGGTAAGGTAACAAAAGCGTGGAGATAACTCTAAAGTTAAAAATGTTCGCAAACTCTTTGCTTTGGATATTGCCTCAAATTTCTTAAGCACATCATATGATTTTGGGACATTGGACAAATGACGTGTCTTTTTAGTTATTTCACATGAACCATCACTACCTTCCAATCTGCAAAACAATTCGCCGGATAGAGATTGAACCATATCATGAATTAGATGATGGATGACAAAGCAAGATTTATCCCCACCTACTTGTTGAAAAAAAGACCTCGACGTTAAATCTTTGAAGTACTCGTTACCTCGTTCTTCTGCATTGACATTTTCTTTAGAAGCCTCTATAAGACCTTCAGCCATCCATAATCGAATGAGTTCTTCCTTCCTGAATTCATTACCTTTAGGAAAAAGTGAACAATATACAATGCAACGCTTCAAATGCGAAGGAAAATAATAATAACTTGATCTTAATGCCAGAAGAATATTATTTGCTATGTCCCATAAATTGCTCTTTAATATTTTATTCCATTCATCAGAGTCTGGTTTACAACGCAGAAGACCTCCGAGTGTTTTTGCAGCCAAAGGGAGGCCGTTGCATCTTTTGGCAATTGCTTTTCCAATTACCTCCAGATCTGGATGCATGCTTGGGCTTCTATCAACAAATGCATGTTTTGTAAATAGCTTCCAACGATCATCATCAGATAAGATATTAAGATGATAAGTTGGAACAGTCCTCAAAATGGATGCAACACTTTCATTACGTGTTGTTACGATAATCTTGCTGTTTCGTGCCCCATAAGCAAAAGGACTTATCAGCTCTTCGCAGTCAACATAATTCTCGTTCCAAACATCGTCCAATACAAATAGAAACTTCTTTCCCAACAGCTTCTCCTTTAGTTGAAGTTGAAGCTGATTTAAGTTCTGACTACCATCACAGCTACAAGTTATCTCTTCAAGAATAGTTTTGGTTACCCTGAAAGCATCAAATTCCTCTGAAACACACACCCATGCTTTGAGATCAAACCATGCCTTCGCCCTCTTGTCATTGTAGATCAACTTTGCGAGGGTAGTTTTACCAATCCCGCCCATACCCACAATTGGAATCACATCCATCTGATTTTCAGTTGGATAGACTTGGAACAACAACTTCATTATGTCTTCTTTTTCAACATCTCTGCCATAAACACCAGATTCATCCACAAAAGAAGTTGCGGGGGATCTTTGAAATGCCTTTTCTCCTCAGCAATATTCTTTCAAACCGAGTTGACTAGCGATTCTAGTCTCTCAAGGATATCTTCGAGCTTTGAATCCATGTCCCTACTGAAAGTATTGAGAGAAGAGATAAGGCGACTTACCTTGGTTGAAGTGGTTTGATTCTCAGCTTCCAACCTGCTTCGAAGAGGAGGTCCTCTACATCATAAACAGCATCTTTGAACTCAGCAACCCAACCTTTCACATATAGTTTGGTAATATGCTTGTGTTCAGCATCACCCAGCACTGCATTAACAGACATGAGGGCTGGCTTCAGTTTCTTAAAAAGTCCCTTTTCCAGTTTCTTTCCCCTAATGAAGTCCAGGACCTCTTGAGAAGCCATCCTGTCGAACAGAACTTGAAGTGTAGCAGAGAGCAAAGCTCTACCCACCAAAACCCCGGTCATTTTTTTCTATTTTCTGGTGAAGAAAGGTTTGAAGGAAGATAATGTTAGTAGATTTAAGAAAAACAGAAATAGAAAGAAAGAAGAAAATATGGCTTTGAGGCGTGAATAACACTGTTTTAAAGGCAATTATACCTATAAGATACAACAAAATCTTAAAACTCTCTCAATCAGAAGTAGTGAAAATAGTTATACTAAAAGATTTATTTATAATGAATGAACAGATATAAACTTCTATTCAGATAGTTATGACCTTCTATATAATCATGACCTTTATGAATAACAATATATTTATATTTAAATAGTTATGACCATTTGTCAGATGATAATTATTTCTGTTCAATCATAATTATTTAAAATATGAATAAAATTAATACAAAAATTAATTTTATTTATCAATGTGGGATGCACCACATTCTAAACTACCAACAATCCCCCACTAGTATGGAATGTTGGTGCTTAATCTTTAACCTTTCACACAAATAAATATTATGAATACAAAAAGGTATCTTTCGATTTAAACCTTCAATTAGCGTATATAACTTAGAATTCTAACAAAGTTGATGGTGTCCGTAGTTTAAACCTCAATTCCTAATGTTAAAATTAAAGATATAACACACATAATATTTATTTAATATTTTGTTAGAGGTTTATAATCACTTTAGCACTATTATGGCCATGTGCTTATCCTTATTCATAAATATTTACAAGAAAGTTTTTAATTTTCTTGTTGAAACAGTATCACTTCTATGTTTATATAGGTGGAGTTTCTTATTTATGTCTCCATTGCTATAGACATTTAATTATTAACTCCATTAAGAGTTCAATTTCATCCTCCATTTACGCAATGGCGTACACCAGTATTCCAAATATATATAGAATGGGTTGACTAGTGTTTACAGACAGATAACAATAATTTGTTATTACCTATTAAACTTTACAATTAGAGGTTATTAATTCAAAGTTAGGTTCCCATTATTGGTGTCTAAAAGGAATTTTAAACCCATTTCACTTGTGGTGCTTCTTACCAAATTTCTAGGTAGCGCCTTAGTAAGAAGATCTGCTAAGTTTTTAGCAGATTTAACGTATATGATGGTAATTACCCCATTTTTTATCAATTCTCTGATATAATCATGTCTTAGACTAATATGTCTAGATTTTCCATTATAAATTTCACTATAAGCTCTAGACATAATAGCTTCACTATCATAGTACAAGAAAATGTTATCATTGGTTGTGGCCACAACTCTATATCTATTAATAAATTTTTTAGCCATTCAGCTTCCTTGCCTGCTGCAGCTAAAGCTATAAATTCAGATTCCATAGTTGAATGTGAAATGCAAGTTTGTTTCTTAGATGCCCAACTAATTGCACCACCTCAAAGGGTAAATATCCATCCTGAAGTGGATTTATTGTCACTTATACTAGTGATCCAACTTGCATCTGAATATCCTTCCAAAACAGTTGAATCTCCAGAATAAAATAAGCCAAAATTTTTAGTTCTTTTAAGATAACTTAGAACTCTTCCTATGGTTTTCCAATGACTTATACTAGGCTTACTTGTATATCTCGATAACTTGCAAATAGCAAAAGCTATATCTGGCATAGTACAATGCATAGGATACATAATACTTCCAATTGCACTAGCATATTCAAGTTGTGCAATTACATTATCTTGATTTTTTTGTTAATTTTATACTTGTATCATATGGAGTATTGGTTTCTTTTATATTGAGATACTTAAACTTATTAAGCAGTTTCTCAATATCATAACTTTGATTAATAATGAAACCCTTATTATATCTCTTAACTTTAATTCCCAAAATGATATCAACTTCATTTAAATCTTTCATTTTGAAATTAAAATCAGATACCTTTTGGTTTCATTCATGCTAATCATATTAGTACCAAAAATTAGCATATCATCCACATAGAGACATTATAACTCCATATTCTTTAGTAAATTTTGAGTAAATGCACTTATCTACTCCATTATGTTTAAAACCATTGGCTACTATGATTGAATCAAACTTTTCATGCCATTGTTTAGGAGCTTGCTTTAGCCCATAAAGTGACTTAATTAATTTACAAACTTTATTCTCATTACTTGGAAGAATAAAACCTTCTGGTTGTTCCATGTATATTTATTCCTTTAAATCACCATTTAAAAGGCTGTTTTAACATCCATTTGATGCACATACAGTTTATGAATGGAAGCCAAAGCTATAAGAACTCTAATGGATGTTATTCTAGCTATTGGAGCATATGTATAAAAATAATCTATGCCTTCCTTTTGTTTAAAACTTTTTGCAACTAATCTTGCTTTAAATGTTTGTATAGAACCATCTGTATTATATTTCTTTCTAAACACCCATTTATATCCTATAGGTTTAGAACCTAGAGGTAAATCTACCAAAACCCATGTATTATTGGACATGATTGAGTCCATTTCATCATTAATAGCTTTTTTCCAAAAAGCAACATCTCTTGAAGTAATAGCTTCATTAAATATTTTAAGGTCTTCATCTATATTTAGTAGAATTGGTGTTTTCTTAAGCACTTTGGTTCTATTCCCTTTTACTATGAATACTATAGAATATGGAGAAACAAAATCAGAAAGCAAAAGATTATCTTTTCTAACTCTTTTACTTTTTCTAATTTCAATAGAATCATTACTTTCTTTTCTTTTATTTCCATTCATAGGAATCATTTCAATTTGTTTCTCCATATTAATTTTGGTATCATATATAAACCTATTTTCAAAGAATTTTACATGAATAGATTCAACAATAACATTAGTATTTAAATCAAGAAGTCTATATGCTTTTGAATTCTGTGCATAACCAACAAAAATACTTTTAATACCTCTAGGTCCTAATTTTGATTTATGAGGATGAGGTATTTTATAAAAGGCAATGCACCCCCACACTTTAAAATAATCCAAATTTGGTTTTCTGTCATGATTCCAAAGTTCATATGGTGTCTTTAAGAATTTCTTTGAAAGAATTCTATTATGTATGTGGCATGCTGTTAAAAATACCTCTCCCCAAAGATTCAGAGGTAATTTAGCATTTAACAACATTCTATTTACCATATCAACCAAGGTTCTATTTTTTCTTTCAGCTAAACCATTTTGTTGGGGTGCATAAGGGATTATCCTTTGATGAATAATTCTATTATCTTCACAAAAAAGAGAAAATGAATCTAGAAAATATTCACCACCCCTATCTGTTCGAAGAATTTTGATTTTCTTCTCTTTTTGATTTTCAACAACTGATTTATATTCTTTGAATTTATCAAAGGCGTCATCTTTTGTTTTCATTAGATACACAAAAGTATAACGAGAATTATCATCTATAAATGTTATAAAATACCTTTTTCCTCCCCTTGTTAATAAACCATTTAGCTCACAAATATCAGAATGTATAAGTTCTAATAATTTTGTATTTCTTTCAGCGTTAGGAAAAAGTTTTTTAGTCATTTTTGCTTTGACACAGATTTCACATTTAATGTCATGATTTTTTTGGTATGTTATATAACCATGCTTAGTCATATGATTCATATAATGATAATTTAAATGTCCTAATCTAGCATGCCATAAATAAGAAGAATGTTTAACAATATAAGCAAAAATATTATTTATTTCATCAATGCTTAGTTTAAACATACCATCATTGGAATATCCTTTTTCCAATGAATACACCATTTTTGAAGACTATAACTTTATCAGACTCTAGTACAATCTTAAAGCCTTTTTTACATAATAGATTTACAGATACAAGGTTCTTTCTAATCTCAGGAACATGAAAAACATTAATTAGAGTTAGTTTCTACCCTGAGGTGAATTTCAATTCAATCGTTCCTTTTCCAATCACTTTGGCAGGAACATGATTTCCTATAAGGATGTTTTCTGGTTTCTTGCATTCTTTATAAGTCTTGAACTGCTTTTTGTTGTTGCAAACATGAATTGTTGCACCAAAATCTAGCCACCAATCAGATGACTTATTTGTAGTAGCCATATGAACTCCGGTGATCATTCCAATTTGCATGTTAATCACCATTGCAACAAGTTATTAATTTTTTGCTCAACCAAATTTACCTTGCTTTCAGAACTAGAACCAATCTTAATTCCAGCGTTTTTAAATCTGCAATCTTTAATCAAATGTCCTTTTTTTCCACAATGGAAACACATTTTGTTCTTGTTAAATTTGGACTTCTTAAATCCATTCTTCTTGACTTTAAAATTGTTTTGAAATTTACCAAAAGACTTGTGAGTTTTTCGAAAATTTTGTCCACTCATGTAATTCACATTGTAACCTCCAAGGAAGAGTGCATCTCTTGCATGATTTTCTGTTTCAATCTGTATGTGAGTTTGAAATTCTTCAATAGTGAAAGTATATGTTGAATGTAGAACTTTCTTCCTATATCCATTCCATGAAAGAAGAAGTTTTGACAAAATAGCTCCAACTTGAAGTGAATCAGGAACCTTAATTTTCAGCTCACTTAACTTAGAGACCAAAA